TTTTCGTAGCGTTCTCGTATTGTTCGAGAGAAATAGACTATTGTCTTGCGTTCCCTTGAGGATTAAGAACAATACGAGAACGCTACGAAAACGGTACACTGTAAACGCTGCCTATACAGGGTGTCTCAAAAAAAACCAAAATCATTGAAATTGACGTATTGTTCGATATTCAATGCCCTAGCACTAAGTTAATCCCACGAGTGCATAAAAGATTGACATAACTGCTATAATGAATGGTAATACTCAGCGTAAACTTGTTATGTCAGGCATAAAGTACTAAACCCACGAATGCATATTACGCATATTACAATTTACGAAGCATTTTTAAATTCCCATGAGCAAACAAACGTTCACTTTACAAAGATATTTTAATTTTTTAAAACAAATTAATCACCCTGTCAAAATCCTTTGTGTCACGGCATTGAAATTCGAACAATACGTTATTTCAATGATTTTGGTTTTTTTTGAGACACCCTGTATACAGGGTGTCCCAAAAAACCCGAAAACTATTGAAATCACTTATTGTTAAATTTGAATGCCCTACCAAACAGCTGAACGTAATGATGCGTAAAATATTGACAAGGTGCATGTATTAGAATTTAGTTAGGAATATCTCCTGGTAAAGTGCGCGATTTTCTGCTCCTGGGAATTAAAAACAGGTTCTTAAACAGTTTCTTTATGCATAAAATTTACTTACGTCAATCATTTATGCACTCGTGGGAACCAACAGAGCGCTAAGGCATTCAAATTCTAACAATTAAATTGTTATTGGTGATTTCAATAGTTTTCGTTTTTTTGGGACACCCTGTACAGGGTGTCTCAAAAAAACCCAAAATCATTGAAATTGACGTATTGTTCGATATTCAATGCCCTAGCACTAAGTTAATCCCACGAGTGCATAAAAGATTGACATAACTGCTATAATGAATGGTAATACTCAGCGTAAACTTGTTATGTCAGGCATAAAGTACTAAACACACGAATGCATATTACGCATATTACAATTTACGAAGCATTTTTAAATTCCCATGAGCAAACAAACGTTCACTTTACAAAGATATTTTAATTTTTTAAAACAAATTAATCACCCTGTCAAAATCCTTTGTGTTACGGCATTGAAATTCGAACAATACGTTATTTCAATGATTTTGGGGTTTTTTGAGACACCCTGTATATCAACACTGCTTTTCAAATTGAGTGCTTGCGGCGCGCAACAAATGACAAAGGAATGGGGCGAGCTATTATTGACATTTGGAAGCATTATTGGTGCATTCTACACGCCGTTTTGGGCTGTCTATGGGAATACT